CCTCGTACCTCAGGGGCTCCGGCGACAGCGGGGCCAGGGCCAGGACCACGACCAGGACCGGGGTCTCTCCGTTCCGGGGCTTACGTCTCCTGCTGCGTGGGAGGTACTGCCGAGGAGCGGTCGCCGACCCTGTACACCGGGTCCGAACACCCGCCCCAGCCCAGGTGTCGGTCAGGTAAAGGGAACTGCAGGTTTCGTGCACGGCAGAAAGTGCAGGGCTGAAACGTAACAGCACCCGCAGTCCTTGTGAGGAGACTAAAACTCGCCTCAGGAGCCGGTGCGGCTTGCAACGGGGCAGGCGTTACACAGGAGCAGGCGGTGGCTCGAAGGAGCAGCATCGCTGCTCACCCTCAGCTCGGGCTTCGGAAGGAAAAAGTGACTTGCTCTGTTTTCAAAGGCTTCTCGGTCGTGGTTCTCTGTGCTCTGAGTGAGATTTGTGGTGGGCAGGATTTGAGAGAAACTCTCCCTGCCTTTCAGTATCTCCACAGTGACTGGCTCCAGGTTGCTAGCTCCATGCAGGCTTGATAATTTACTCATGTGGTCTTTTTATCTGTAACAGGTTCTCCTGCTAAAAGCATTTGCCCTTTCGTCTGGAGGTTAGCTTGTAAGTAAAATATTGACTTGGCTGATGTTTGTCTAAAACTCATCTCTTAAAATGCAATCACAAAATGGAGACTTGGACGAAGGCCTTGGAGGGGAGGTTACTGCACAAGAGGTGTCAGGAGAGGCTGTGGACAACACCGGTAACAAATCTACCCACGCAGAAAATGACGGCAGTTCTGACAACAGAGGTGAGCCCTTCCAGCTGGCTCACTAGGATGAATTTAAGGAACTTTAGTGAATGTAAAGCCTAGAAATCAAGTTTGTCATTACTCATCTGGATGCAATATGAGTTGAGTCTTTCTCCAACTGAAGTCAATGAAAATCTTGCCATATCTGAGGCTTACCCAATTGCTATCTTGTGATTTATTTTTTTCTTCTGTTTCATTTTTCCTTGCAGGAGTCTGTTCCTGTGTTGCAATCATGCAGCTAGCATGACCTCCAAATGTTTTAAATACAGTCCTCTTTAAATGAGCTGGTACAATCATCTTGTTTGCATTGTCTCTTTTTAAGTGTACAGAGCACAGTCTGCAGAAGGTGTAGAGCAAGAATCTAAAGAGAAGAGCATTGAAAGTGCAGTTAATCAAAGGCAGTCTGAAGACAGTTCAAATGAATGTAGCACCGGAGACACCTTCCAAAGAGTCCAGAAGGGTAAGCTGTAGAACAGCTAGACTAATAAACAGTGCTTGACATGGCTCAGCTACGCCTTTACTGTAATCTCTCTGTATGCAAAGTTACCAGTCCTGTTAAACTCAAATTATTGTTCATTAAATGTAATACAGTAGATGTCTAAGACTGTAAGAGCAACGGTCCCAGTACTTTATTGTCACCGTATGTTATAATCTTATATCTTAAGACTAGCGGGTGCTACCTGATTTCCAGATCTTAGAAAAAAAATATGCAAATTTCCACAATTAATTTTGCTAGTACTTATTTTACTACTTTGCCTTCAAAAAAAGTTGTTTCCTTTCATTAAAAATGCCAACAAAAGTCTTGGTTAAAACACTTCTTTCCTTGAAATTTGTATTCGAGCGCTCTTCAATATTTCCCTGAAGTAATTAATTGCCAGCGTGACTATTTCCCCACTGGTGCTGTTAAACTACAACTTGTTTTCTTACTTACAAAGCTGTTACAACTCGAGAGAAAGCTGTCAGCTGTATGTCCAGAGGAGATCAACAGAATAAAGCAAAGTCAGATGGTGATCATAAATCGGTAACTGGCTCATCCACTCAAAGGACAGAAGGAAAGAGGGGCTTTGTCAGGTAACTCAGTGTTTGTGGATGCTTTTTATTTAAATCTTAGCATCACCACGGTCAATGGGAGTTTTGATGCTACGTGTTCAGCTTAATTCAGGAGAATAATTCAGACAATGCATTATGTTAATTCATCACAATGTAAATTTTATAGATGTCAAGATAATTTTTCAGCAGGGGAAATCCAGGGGTACCTCAGATGGTTGACAGTAAGACACATCTTCGTAAGCTCTGGCTCTGATTTTGGTCCAGCCTAAACCAGCGTACGCTGAAACGACTGTTCATTAATTGGTGTGAAATGGGCTTATTCTCTTGTCCTCTCTGGTTAAGAACAATGCAAGCAAATAGTAAAATTAAAAAACCGAGCGTATCTGGTACCGTTTAATAACATTATTGAAAGTCTGGTCACATTATGATATATAAGGCACAATGAAGATTTACTTTCTGTTGTTTACATGTGGGTGAAGCCTCCCAAAGTTTATGTTGCTGCTAGCTTTAACATCGCTTTTCTATTAGAGACAGTTCCAGTCCTGTAAAGTCAAGGGAAAGATGCTCACTGAGTTATCAGGAGGTAGATTGGACTGTGCTTACATAGAAAACTTCATTATCCTGGGCTGATCAGCCTGGCACACTTCAGAATTAAGTTTTTATGAAGAATAATGGTAGAGAGCAATAACTGCACGGAGGATAATTAATGCTTTGAAGGAACACATTTTATGATCCTGTAAATTGAGGAGGATGCTAATAATTTGATTAAACGCTACCACAAATAGCACAGTGAAAAGCAGTGAGATACACTGCAAGTAGCTGGCATGCAATAACGTACCCGGGCTGGCAACACAAGAAAACAGTGTGTGTATATAGATTTTGCTCACATTTTAGAAATCTTTCATTCCTTCAGGGGTTTATGTTGGGTGTGCTTGGCTTACAGGGCAGGTACAGGCTGACAGTCAACTTTTCTATTACCCCAGCTCAATTGACTAATTGACTGTATTACAGTTTTGTTCTTCAGCAATATTGAGATTTTTAGTGTAGTAAGTAACTGTATCTAAGAGCAAATGCGTTGTGAAAGATTTAACTTCGCTGCCTTTGCTCAAAGTTTTTTGTTATTTTGAAAATATCTTCATGCCAAGGAAACCTTACTGTTATAGACCTTACACCTGCAAATACTTCTTAGCTTAGTTTTTTAGCAGAAGTAGGAAGAGCCTGGCAACACACTTCAAACAGGCAGAAATGGGAAGCCACTTTAAAAAACTACTGCTTTTTTTATCTGGAGTATAGTCTTGAAAGCTATAGCTATTTCTGGCATAAAAGAGCTATTAGTTGAGTTGCATTGAAACCTGTTACAAACTCAGAGATTTCAGAATGCACACTGAAATACATTTTTTGTTTTGTTTCTGCTTCCCGTCGTTATTTTAGAATGACAAAGAAGATTCTGAGAGACATCTGTAAGCAGCAGAAATTATACTGGACCCCATACTTGAATGACACGCTTTACTTGCATTATAAAGGTGAGATACGGGCAATATTGTTTAGCTTTCTTATTCTAAGTAGCATTTTAGCAGGGAATCTAGTTTATGGCTCACTGAAGTAAGGTGTCTAATAATTATTTTCAGTTAGACATAATTTAATTTTATATAATAATGTAATTGTGAAACAAAATGACTCAGTATAAAGGTAGAAAAGTGACCTGATTATAGACCTAATTCACCGTGTGGAGTCATTCAAAGGATTAATAGGAATCAATGGACACTTTTTTTTCTCTCTAAAACAGTAGCCTCTGAGAAATGTCTGAAAATACTGGCCTGGGGTGCATTCAGAGGAGAATATATGTGTTTCTTCTTAAATGTGTTTGTATAAGGAAGCTGTTTTCCAGCTTCAGGAACTTTTTAACTGTCAAATAAAAATGGACAGGAAGAAAACAACCAGTAAATACTTGCTGCATGTTGTCAAATACCAGTGAAAGAAAAAGGAGTTGCTAGAATGGACATGGATCATCCTCTTGTGATCTTTGAGCAGTTTTTTGCATGACACGGTTAGACAGTTCAGGTTAGCCTAAGGATTACTTTAAATCAATAGGACACGCTAAACCTGCTTTCTACGTTTGGCTTTGGTTTTGCTGTTTTCTCAGTGTGTATTATTTAAGAACCTAAAGAGCAGCAGGAGATGCAGACCAGGAAAGGTACCTATATGTTTTTGCCCTTTGTGGGCCAATTTACTGTATCATTGATTCAGTGGAAGTACTACCATCAATTTGATCCCCAGTGTTCTTACAGGCTGTTTCAGCAGTGCTGGTTTAATTACATTTAGTCTTCCAAAGACTTATTTTCATTTTAAAACGTCTTTTTCTGCAGGATTTGACTGCGTGGAGAATCTTGACGAGTATACTGGATTGAAGTGTTTATGGCTGGAAGGCAACGCCTTAACAAAAATTGAGAACCTGGAGACTCTGACAGAGCTGCGTTGCCTCTACTTGCAACTCAATTTAATTAAGAAAATTGAAAACCTTGAACCCTTACAAAAGCTGGATTCCCTCAATATCAGTAACAACTACGTTAAGACCATTGAGAACCTCTGTAAGAACTGCTGGCGGAACATGTTTTAACTATAATGAGCTCATAATGAGCTTCCTAATAATTAATAAATTAATAATCAGCTTTCTAAGACTTTATTAGTGGCACTCGTTTCAAGGGAGGGTTTATTATTGTTAAAATTTTGCATAATAGCCCATACCAAAATCCACAGAGCTTCCATGGCAGAGTCAAACCTATGAGTGTTGCCATTTAAATAGATGAGAAAACAGAAAAGCACAGTAATTACTTTCACATGGACAATTAAGTCGTTTATTCCTCCCTTCCTAGTACTATCTCAGTACTTATCTGTGTTGCAGACAGGCTGACAATCCAGTTTTCACAATTTACTTTACAGTTAGGATGTGCTTTGGCAGCTGCAGACACGATTACCAAACCTTTGATGTCTGTTAAAGGATTTATTCCACCTTCAGCAGAAAAGAGAATTCCTCTACATTATCATTTGTGTGCGTTGGGAGTAATTTGAAACACAAGCTCTTGCTTTTGTGTAACTGACAGGTTTGAAACGTGAATTAAAACCAACCACCATCCTAAACCCAAACAACTATTTTTCCTGGGGTGAAGAAAGCAGCTTTGGAGGCCCAGCCAAAAAGTGCATCTAGCAGAATAACAGATCGAGGAGAAAAGCTCCCCACAATTCAATAGAAACCATTATTTTGACAATGCCGTTTACTTGCTCCAGAAAACCTTCTGTGAAGCAGTGACTCATCCCTTTCCTCTCATTGCTCTGTTCTTGTCTGACAGCTTGTCTGAAAGTCCTGCAGACTCTGCAGATTGCTCACAATAAGTTACAAACGGTGGAAGACGTACAGCACTTGCAGGAATGAAAAGTATTTCTGTTCTCGATCTTTCCCACAACAATCTCAGTGATCCAAACATTATAGCTATTCTGGAGACCATGCCTAGTTTGGTAAGCTGAATATAGCTGAGGGTTTGTACCACGTGTATGGGTGAATCCCATTACATGGTTTCATTGGGTTTCAGTGCACAATAGGTCTTGTCTAAAAGAAATGTTATTCAGCATTATTTATTCTTTGTAGATTACCTGTAACAACCAGGGTTGTTTTATTCACTTCTTGGTTTTGAAATGATAGGGAAAGTGCATATCCAGAATGGGGTGGGTTTTTTTTGCTCCTCAGCTTTAAAAATTGCCCATTACACGGTTTCAGTGCACAATAGGTCTAAAATAACTGTTATTCAGCATTATTTATTCTTTGTAGATTACCTGTAACAACCAGGGTTGTTTTATTCACTTCTTGGTTTTGAAATGATAGGGAAAGTGCATATCCAGAATGGGGTGGGTTTTTTTTGCTCCTCAGCTTTAAAAATTGTTTCCCTTGTGTCTCTAGCATGTGCTGAATTTGATGGGAAACCAAGTGAGACAGAAAATTGCTAATTACAGAAAGACACTTACTGTTCGACTAAAACAACTGACGTATCTGGATGACAGACCGGTTTTCCCAAAGGACAGGTAAGCACAGAGGCATCTTTACACAGCAATAAAGCTCAAATGCTGATGAGCACTCACCTGGTTTTTGTCAGTCTTGTCATGGAAGGAAAAGAAGACTGACTGCCATCATTTACTGAGAGTGGGTGACTTTGCACAGAAGAATATTATACTACAGAGTTCTACGTCTAACATACCTAGAAAAATACTTGTTTCCACAAGGGAATTAATTCTTTAACAGAATTGTTTCACCCAAAGTCTGTAGACCAGAGGCAAATCCTGATTTCAAGGTGTCTTAAAAAGCAAAGACAGGATGAACACTCCTGGCAGACCTCCCGTGGTAATCACCAGCATTTGGATATCTTTAGTTCTTTTGTTGCAGTTCCAGGTATGAGATAAGATACACGTGTTGCATCTATGCAACATACTACGCAACTCCCCTGTTGTACAGAGGGTTGTCATTGATGTATGCTGGTTTTTTTTCCTCTTGCAGCTATTTTAAGCTGTTGCAAGCTATTTTTCAGTATAAAGATGGGCTTTTCTAGCTATATTAGTGAGCTTTTGTGTTTTCACTAGAGCCTGTGCAGAAGCCTGGGCTGTTGGAGGGCTTGAAGCCGAGAAAGCAGAAAGGGAAAAATGGGAAACCAGAGAGAGAAAAAAAATCCAAGATAGCATCGATGCTTTAGCAGCAATCAGGCAAAAAGCAGAGGAAAAGAAAAGACAAAAGGATGTGGAAGAAGGAGGTGCAAGTGCAAAAGGAGATGCAACAGACATCCTAGAAGGTTTGTGGTTACTATTTTGGAAGTTGTCTGTGTCTGCTTCAGTTTGCGTGTTTGAAATAAATGAACAGTTCCTAAGTGTTCAGAAGCAGGCTGATGCCATATTTTGAATATATTAATGAATCTTCTTTTCCCACACTAAATACTTATTAATCTTGGTGCATCTTAGATTAACCAGAACGATTTTGATCAATCATGACTTTTCTCACTGCTGGTGAAACAAGAAGACAACAGACCACCTTCTGTCCCTGCGTTTCAAGCTGTTGTGCTCTTAACCAGAGCAACCAGGTGGTAGTCAGGGCAATAATGGTTCTAGGAGGCATTCTGGGGTGGAGGAAGGCAACTACACCCCAAGAGCAAGACTTACCTGAGATGCACAACAGGGGTGGCTTGAGTAGGCACATGGGCTCCAGTAAGACCCAGTGATCACCAATCCCCACTCAGGCACCTCTGCACTGCTGTGTTCACTAAGAGCTTCAGTCTAGAGCCTACAGCACTGGTAACACAGGCAGTAAGAGGACGATCTTTAATGATTTGCTTCACTTACTGCTCTTTTTTATGGCACAAATTCTCCTGTCACATTGAGGCATCTATTTAAAACCAGTAGTAGGTCCCAACTTAACCTTTCTAGAGTACACGTGTTTCAGGACAAACAGGACTGGAGCCAAAGAAGAAGTCAGTACTACAGTACAAAGGGGTGTTTGTCTGATAAGTTTGTTGGGTTTCACACGCAGTGAAATCAAATACAGTCGACTAACAAGTAAAACTTCTACTGCAGTCTGATGGATTGCATAAAGGAGGGGACTTCAGCACTTGTCACTGAGCCATCAAAATGCTCAAGCATATATTTAAAGATGTAGTCACTTGTGAGTAATTTCAAAGTTAATTATAGATACCAGACAATTATTTACTAGAGTATTTTCTCTAGAAGAGGTTTTTGCTGGGAAACTGTACGTGCTGGGGAGTTGAGATGGGAAAACCTACAACATTGCTGCAATCCTGGGAGGACTGCTGGTCCACAAATAGCTGCTTTCGATGCATATTTTGGGTCAAACTATTAAGAGCGTGTAGTAAAATTGGGATATTTACAATGAGCAATTGTAGATTAACTTGGCAGTTTCAATGAACTTGTCTCTCTGTAGGAGCACCGGCAAATTCAGGTGACGGTCATGGAAATTCTAATACATCAGAGACTTCAAATATATCAGAAGTGGAAGAAACTCAAGAGAAGACTGAGAAATTTGGAAATGAAAGTTCTGATGCTTGTGATGAAGCAGTAACACTTCTAGCAAATAGAGGAGATTTCCCATCTGGAAATATTCCTGCTCAAATTGAGGAGGTTGCACAAGAATCAAACCCTTACAAATGCTCAAACTTCGACAAGATGAGACACGGTAAGGGACGCAGTGAAGAACCAAACCAAACTAAGGAAGCAGAGACAATGAGCCAAACTTTGTCTTTGTGTCCCACCGCTGCCATGATTCAAAGCTAAGAACATCCCATTAGATTTCACCAGTGACTAGTTGAAAATCAAGCAATACTGGCTTAAATATTCCTTAAATACAACAACCTGCAGCTTCTGCCAGATAAAGTGGAATTCCATTTCTCATCCGTGCCAGGTTTAGCGACAGGACAGGAGAGCTTGCAGTCTGCCTTTGCTCCCACATAAGCTACGAGTGTGTCTGCCAACAGAAACTGGTCGTCACTCTAAAGGTGGTTTTGTGCCTTCGCACATGGAGGAATGCTTTAGTAGATCTGTGGAATACATCATTGCTAAACACAAATGTTAATTTACACAATGTAAGCGAGATGAGACCGCATCTGGAATATTGTGTCCAGTTCTGGGCCCCTCAGTTCAAGAAGGACAAGGAACTGCTGGAGAGAGTCCAGCGTAGGGCTACAAAGATGATCAAGGGAGTGGAGCATCTCCCTTCTGAGGAGCGGCTGAGGGAGCTGGGGCTCTTTAGTTTGCAGAAGAGGAGACTGAGGGGAGACCTCATTCATGTTTATAAATATTTAAAGGGTGAATTTACACAGTGTAAGAGAGATCAAGAACATGATGCAAAGACAAAGTGCTGGATTTAGTTGTGAGTTCTGCAATGGTGGTCAGGTCCCCAGCAGTCTGGTATTGCAGTGCTCATTGTTGCCATGTAGGAAATGTTGCAGTCAGTTTTCTGCAGATGTCTCTTGTTTGTTCTTTAGATCTACCAAGAGAGAAGACAGCTGCTGAGAAGGCCATGCTTCCTGCACTGGATGAATACGCTGCAATTGAACAGATCCAACTGGAGACCAAACCAGGGAAGCTTTATCTTGAGGTACGTATGCGATCCAGATTTTGGGAAGTTCAGGTTTGGGTATTGTCTGGTCTCAGCTTAATTCTTGTAATATCCTGGCTAATCAAACTATATGGCCAGGTTTCTAAGAAAGGCCTACTTTTAGGAAAAGGAAAGAAGAAGAGAGGGAAGTAAAGTTGTAGGGGTATTTGTTCTCTCCAGCACAGTGTGTGTAAAGAATTTACCACTGCGTCCACAGTTTATTGTGTCCTTTGGCCATAGATCACCTGAAGTTGACCTTCTAGCTCTATGATTTCTCTGGAGAAGTTAATGAGGGCTTTCATTTATAAAACAGAAAAAAAATAAAGACAATATAGTAGATAAACACGTCCTATTAGGCAAAACCCAAATGAAACATGCAATTGAAAATGTGACCTACTGCAGAAAAAGCATAAGGAAGAAATAGCCACACACTGTTGTAAAAGTTAGCCAGCAGCATTAGATAGTATAATTCATTCTCAAAATATAACTTTTAGGTATATTGCCAAGAAAAGCAGAACGTACATTATTCAGGTATAAGCGACTGACATTTGTAGTATGATCTTTTATCATCTGAGATTTCTATCTGACATTTAACCATGTTTAACCACATTTAACCACGAGGAGGACACGGATGATACCACTGCAGGGGAGAACTATTAAATATATTCTAATGACGACACTGCTGCTAAACTGACAGTGTCAGATGATGACATTTTGCAATAGCAAACTTCCGAGCTTATGATTTCCTAAAGCACTAAATAGACTCTTTGATCCCTTATACCGCCACTGATAACTAAATTCTTACTGGAATGCCTTAGAAAAGTCTCAAATCTTTTCTGTGCTATTAGTTTCTCAGGAAAAAAAATCCATCCTGTTATCGAAGGGCTCAACTTGCTGCTTCAGTAGAGGGCTTAATGCAGCGTCCTCCTGTCTGGTTGGTTTTAATAATAGGTATAACAAGGGTAGTGGAGAGAACTGGCAGCAATTCCAAGTATATACTATATTAATTTTATAAGCAAGTCTTGCAGGGCCTGGAATAAAAGCTTTAAATAAACAGCAATGCCATAGGTACCCACGATGTGGAGATCTCAGATCCAGTGTTTGTTCCCTTGATGCTGCATGGCACCATAGCACCCACCTTTGCACAACTTGACTATAAAAGGAACTCTTCAGCAGACGTGCGTGGAGTTTCTTCAGACACATAAAAAGTGTGACTATTCTAATTCTACAGAAGACAAAACAAACCCAAATCACGTCCTAAAAAACATACCAATGGTCTATGCTACTTCATTTTCCAACTGATGTTCAGTGACAGAAGGAGCTTCTTGCAACAACCTCCAATACTTACGCTATTCCAGATTTTCCAAGCACACTTAGCGCTGACGTTGCAGGGAGTGGCTGTGAAGACACCAATGATGAGCAGCTCTGGAGCAGCACCAGTGTCCTGGAGTCAGCAGACGGTCTCAGTAGTAATATAAGGACAAGAGTGGAGGAGGATTTGTAATGCTGCCATTGTGATATTCCTCTGTCAAGCAGAAACAAGCCCATGTTGCTGCACATGCCCTGGCAGTGGTTGAGCTGTGTGTCTGTACATTCTTTGTACCTAAAACAGGGTGACTTTCATGAAGCAATTTTGGTTTGAACAGCAAATGCACCCTGCTGACTGGAACAAGACCAACAGTTATTTCACTTCTCTGTTGACATCAAATTCCACTCACTAACATTAGTTTCAAAGCTTAATTTGTACCTTTTTAGTGCTAGTCTTATAAAACTGTGTGACTTCAGGACACGCTGCACCAGCTACAGCCATATCAAGAAACAGAACTTTTCTTTACTGATGTTAATTCTGTTATAATCTTTACCATACAAGAAAGTACAGATTAGATGGTCCTGATGCTACCACGCCAAGCAGCTTGCTACAAAATCATTAAGCTCTATAAACATCTAAAAACAAAAGGAGATGCATTTACCAGTATTGACCTACACTGAAAAAAATAGCAGAAAGGAATTACCTTCTACTTGTGATTTTGTATTCCCACCCTTTGTTTTTGCTTTCATGCCTGCAAGCGATAGTTGTCTTAGGTAATATTTTGTAAGGAAAAGCTGAAATGTGCCCTTATGGCCAAGAAGGCCAATGGCTTGGGGAGTATCAGGAGGGGGGGGGGTGTAGGGCAGAGAGGTTCTCCTGCCCCTTTTCTCTGCCCTGGTGAGACTGCATCTGGAATATTGCGTCCAGTTCTGGGCCCCTCAGTTCAAGAAGGACAGGAACTGCTGGAGAGAGTCCAGCGTAGGGCTACAAAGATGATCAAGGGAGTGGAGCATCTCCCTTCTGAGGAGCGGCTGAGGGAGCTGGGGCTCTTTAGTTTGCAGAAGAGGAGACTGAGGGGAGACCTCACTCATGTTTATAAATATTCCTGTGCAACCTCATCTAGGTGTTCCTGCTCCGGCAGGGGGATTGGACTGGATGAGCTTTTGAGGTCCCTTCCAATCCCTAACGGTCTGGGATTCTGTGAAATGATTGGACCTGTCTGAGGAAAAACAGTCCTAAGCAAGTTTTATATCCTTAATTATATCATTGTTTCATTGGATGTATTTAGGTTAACAGAGTTTCACGACAGCTTTAGGTAGACTGCAGGTTGTTTGGCTCTTACCCATAAAGACAGGTTGCAGTTGAGATTAAATCTACTGAATAGATAAGAAACACCTAATAGATTTAAAGCATATTTGCTTTCCAAACCCTTGTAATGCCTAGTAGTTTATCCCTTTTTCCTTCATAACCACACAGCACAGTAGAAAACAGCATTCAGGCTGACATTACGGTCACTGTCTTCCCATCTGCTCTTGCTGGAAAGAGCTGAATTTTCCTTTTCCCACGTGTGCTTAACAGAGGGAGCTGCCATCTCAGAGAGGATGCCAGTGCAGTGCTCCTGGCTGTGGCCTCTGTCCCTGCATTGCTGGGAAGAAGATTCCCAGTGAGACAGAGATGTTGTATTTTATTGGTCAGAGTGGCTTTTCCCCCTGATTAATGATCTTGTGATTGTCCTCAGGAACTGCCTGATTTAGAAGATGTAGATGTAAATGAAATTGCCCCAGAAGAGGAAATCTTTGTTCAAAAGGTGAGATTTTTATTAATGCCACTGATGGAGCTTCCCTAAACACATTTACAAATGTTTTGCAAAGCGAGGATAATCCAAGTTGTGAACTGCAGTTTTGGGAAATGCAATCAGTTATGCATTTATAAGCTAAAATAGCTGTTTCAGCACATCTTCTCTACCCACTTATAAATCTTCCTTTAATTTGATTTTTTTTAATATTATTGTGTTGCAAAAATAGGAGAATGAAAACCTGAGGTCAAGTAATGCAACACGTGAATAAGGTTAATTAATAAGATTAATTTTAATGGTGTTTTAATGAAAACTACTCTTAAAATATACTTTATCAGTACTAACAGTGCAAAGGGCTGACTAGATAGGATAAATTACCTAGTACTGAATACAATCAGACTTTTCAACTGGAAACACAGAGAGGTGGAAACTCCTCTCCTTCACTTGGGGCTAGGCCATTCACACCCACACCAGCACTGGGCTGTGCTCACACTGATCTTCTGGACAAAAACCTATAAACAAAAGAGGAAAAAACCCAAAACAACAACAATTAAAAGGACAGCTTTGATTGTGGTGCTGATGTTGGCTCCCAGTTGCCTTGCTGGAGACAGAGGCTGATGCCATGTGCGTCTGTACAAGTCCCTCCAAGATGGTGAAGACTTTTCCTGCAGTCAGGGCTCTGTTAGTCACAGACTCAACAGTTTTGCAAAACGTCTTGGCCAACAAAACCTCCAATTAAACAGACAATAAGGGAAGGGAACAAAGGATTATTGAAGGAACAAGCGTTGGTAGCTCTCACGCCAGAAGGGCGTTCAGGTCCTAACTGAAGTCAGATGAAGACGTTAATCAAGTCCCTCTGTTTGGAGGTAGAGGACGAGAACGATCCCACACGTTGCTGAATTGCTGAAATAGGTCTGCTTGTTGTGAACTGTTTAGAGTTTATGGTCAGTTCATTGCTAGTGCTTGAGAAATAGTTAAGCCAAGATTCATCCACAAAGAAGCAGAGCTGTGGATATGAAGCACATGCTCCACACATTTCCGGAGAACGGCACATCCAAGCTGACAGCCGTTACGTGGATCCACGAAATACTGACCCACCTTTTAGCGTTTATATCAAGAGTAATATATTTTCAATTCCATTTTCTACCTTTACAGCAGGAGCATCACCCAAAGATTGAAATAATTTCTGAAATGACAAATGACGGCGATTCTGCATTAGAGGAAAACAATAACAGCACATTTGAGAATTCAGGAGAAGTTCCAACAGCAATTTTTTCAAATGCATGTAAGATACGTAAAGGGCATGACAAGGAGGGCTTAAGACCCCTTGTTGAAAGCCTCTTCACAGAGCCTGCTAATTCAGAAAGATACTTGGAGACCAAAGATAAACAAGAAACCCCCTCGAAACCCTTGATACAAGAGGTCATCATCGACCCCAAGGATAATCTGCTGTCGTCACCAGGCAGCAATCAACCGGGTGACCCAAGCCCATGGGAAGAAGACGGTAAGATTGCAGTGACAGAATTAATCACAGAGAGAGGTGGGTGGCACATGCACACTAAAATTCAGGATTTGTTCAGCTCTTGTGGAGAAAAAATGCAATCCTCTGTTAGTTAAGAATCGCCTCTTCCTTTTATTTATGTAAGAATCCTCATGAATTAGAAAATAAGATATTACTTACTCTTTTTCTCCGCAGAAGTTCTTGCTGGGTTTTATTTAAGTGGTTTTTCAAAAATTAGGCTCTACATTTCTCTTTCCGGTGTTGAAGACCACGAACGAGTTTCATTTGCCTTTTGCCTTCATGCTTTAACAGGGAATGGCAGTGCTGGAGATCAGTGCCTGGCAGAAGGGGATGGATGTCCTCCCGAAGCACAGGATGACAATGACAGTGAGAGTGGGTTAGGTTAATCACCTTGAACTAAAACAGACCAGATCTGGAGCACGGTGCCTGGCTGCCTGCACACGGTTATCCTCAAAATGCAGAGTTCAGCGATGGGGCCGTCAGTTAAAGCTGACAGAACAGGTACTGTGATAGAAAACCCAGCATCTGCAACAGGAGGACTCGGTGTTTCGGTCAGAGGCTGCTGTAGCCCCCAGCGTCTGACCTTCAGGGCAGAACTTTTGGTTGTGTCAGCGTGAAAAAGCCCCTAATCCTCTGTAACCCACAGGCAGCAAGTGCCTGGTGTTCCCACTGCCAAAGCTGCTGGAGATCCCTTGGGGCCGAGCTCCTCAGTGCAGCTGGCAGCGTTCAGTACTTTGAAAATGAGGGCACTACTGGTTTAAGGTTAAATTCCACTCTTTTATGTCATTTTTTTCCCCTTGCATCATTCTAGAAATTACTCAGTTAAATGCTTATATCTTAGTGTTTCATTACATTCATACATTCAATGCATAATGTAACACTTTTTGTCATTTGAACCAAATAAAGATTCTACTTGTAACCACGGATATTTTAACTTGTATCGTCTCCTTCCCAGTATATGTCATCCCGGATGGACTTCAACAATAACTCGAGACTGCTTCTTAACATGATATTTACAGATCTGATATTCATAGACATTAGGATTGTTTATGTGAAAAGATGCAGAAATACATTTAAAGCCTGGGTTTACTTTTTGGAGCAATCTGTGATGAAGCACATACTTAGATCTGACATTTTCATAGTGTCTCCTTGTGATGTACTTCTCAGAATCCTAATTTTTAAAAAGTTGTTTAGGTAAGTAATTTGAAATGTGAAGTTTGAGCTCTATTATTGCTTAAAGCACAGAAAAATGGAGAAAAGCATAAAAAAATGCAAGCAATTTCAAGAACTAAAGATTCTGTGACTCTGATCCTGACTTTACCTGATATACCCACACTATTTGAGTCCACAGAACTCAGCTGCTTTCCAAGCTGTGTTTACATTGCCACATTTTACACTATAGCTCTCTCCAGCTCCTGTTTAACAGAGATGATCACGTTATCTCACAGGTGAATCTACCGAATTCCTGGAAGCTACTTTTCACTTGAGGAGGACTTGGGAAGGAGGAAAGGAGCAAGGAGTAGGCGAAAGTAGTGAAAGAAAAGCCAGAGCGGGACTAAATGAGAAAAAGGAAACATATTTAATTAGTGTTTTCTGTAAAACTTTACAAATGTACAGCATAGTGCAAAAACGCAGTCTCAGCACATCACCTTCAAGTAAAATTAACAGTGTAAAAAGCCAAGGAACACAAGCTTGCTTCTTCACAGGAGCGGCTCTCAAACACTGTTCCTGGAGCTTCCTCTCTCACCACCAAGCTCCAATCTCCTGTTTATAGTAGAGCAAAAAGCCTCAAGAAAAAACCCAAGAACCATCCCAAGCGAGTGCAGTGTGCTGCTTGGCACCATCGCAGATGCTGCAGCCCGAGGCGGTGCCAGGCACCCTCGCTGGTGGAGGCTGCACCTTTGTCTACGTGCACGTAGCTCTCCTGAGACGGTTCACTTCTCAACCCCAACTGGACAGTCCAGTGAGACACTGAAGCATGTGTCTAACCTCAAGCAATGACAGGCTTCGTGAAAATACAGGGAAAACTACTCGGGAGCTTGACGTTAAGCATGTGCTTCAATACCTTATTGGATCCATACATTCAGTGTTAACACTAAGGCAATCTAGCGTGTGAAGGTTCAGAGAAGGATGTAAATCTTGAACAGGGATAACGTGCGCTGTCAGGTGACACGAGACACCGGACAGTTTTCAATTACCTATGAGAAAAGAAGTAAACAGAGTGCAACTCGATGACTTTCCATTGCTGGAAGTGACAAAACACAGAGGCAAACGGGCTGCTTTAGGTGAACTTTCTAAGTACAAATGTGTCAAAAAAGAAAACCTTGTCCATGATACACTCAAACACATCATCTAAATACCAGGCCAATGGGGGCTGCCAGAAGTTTCCCTTAGTCCTGAACACAAAAAACAGTGGCTGGAATTAATTCAGAAGCTCTCACAGTCTCACTTCTGCAAAGACAGCACCAGCAAGGTGGTGACAGAGCTCCCAGCACGCAGTCGGTAGCTGGTGAAAAGTGTGCTCAAAAGTGAATGTTTCTGAACTACCACGTCTGTTCACATGGTGATAAATGGATGGAGGAAAGGGCTGTGACAGGAAGGTCCATCTAACACATGGTTATCTCATTCAGGAGAATTTGAGCCTGCATTCATCTGATTGCTTGACTGCATTTTGGGATGGATGCTGCTTGACCATTCAAGATGCTCAGAAACTTGGTTTGGAACCAGGAATCGTCACGGCAATGAAAGCGGGCAGAGAGTTTCTTCAGATGATACTGGCACAGCGTACACCTCCCTGTCTAAGCCCCTAGGAGGCCTGAGTCAGTTGAATTTCCTAGGTCTGTCTTACAGCATGTGGGTAGCTTTCCTGAGGAAAAGCAACTCAATTAGAGGATACTGAGATAAAGAACACGTTCTCATTAGAACTACAGCATAAAAAACAAAGCTCTGCTTTGTTGAGAAACTCAGCTGTCAGAAACCACATGGAAGAGGAAGATGAATTCAACCTTTGGGGGCTGGTCTCAGGTGCACAAAGGACAGAGGAAAAGTTAGTGGGACGTGGTGGACTAACCCTTCTGCCTCTCTCCTACACTGAGCAGCTGAGAGTCCTTCTAAAAAGGGGATCCAATCGATTAAACTGGCTCATCAGATTGTATACATCAATAAACCAACAGGCACATCTTCAGGGGAAATAGAACAGGTCAGGGCCAAGGAAAAAAAAATCTCATTGGACTGGACATGAAATCCTTAGGCAGCACCAAAACCTGCAGTGCGCTCCCTCAGTCCTCTTTGCTCATGGAAAGTTGTGTGTGCACAAGAGTCTATCCCTTTTTTCTCCTTTTTAAAAAGTATGAGGTGCCCTGCCTTTATGCTAGAGAAAATAAATTTGGGGGAAAAAAAAATGCCCAAACAACAAACCATCTCAACTCAGCATGGGACGTTCTGGGGTCTGCGATGGTCTGTAGCTCCCCTAGGAGCCAGAGACACATTCTTGGGGTGGTCAATCAGAAAATGATCTTCTGCATACTCCGAGAGATCTTACTTTCCC